CATTATAGTTTGCCAGGTTAACAAAGCTGCATACTTTTGTAATGTTACATGTGTATGATTTTGTTTATGCAACACATACAATATAACATATGTGACAAATAAATATTTATACATATTTTTTAAAAATGAAACAAAAAGATTGAAAAAACATTATATACATGATGAACTTCAATAGTACATCACCATTTTGAAAATAAACCACAGAGACACAGTGTGAAGAAACATGTTATGATAATTTATTTCATAATTGAATCGAACACGTTGATTGATTAATTGATTAAATTATTTGAAGTTCTTTTTGTTGAAAAAACCTAATACATACGCACATTAATACAAACCAATATATACCAATTAAACTGCAGCAGTGATTTTTTAAAAAATTATGAAATCCTCTACGACCAATGTTTTACTGTTCAGTAAAAGATAGATACAAGCACATACAGATATTCAATTGATAATCATGTTTAGCATTGTTCATTGAATAATCAGATGTATTAGAACAACTCCTGTTCGTCAGAGTATCCGAATCGAGATGTCAAAGAAAACGTGCGGTATGTTATCATTGGAAGGATTCTGGGAGTGTTAAAAAAGCACATCGCCTTGAAGAGCTTACTTGCTTTCATTTTTTTGACACTTGATGGCGCTAGTCTATGTACCGGTGTGTTCACACTGAAGTGCAATATATATGTACAATACTAGATAGCGCTTTAAATAAACTTTACCAGGAAATAAACACTTGTACACACGGCTAATAAAATATTTAAACAGTCTCGAGGGCGCATTCTCATGTGCCACACACTTGATGTCGGTCTCGTGCCACTAATCAACCAATGACCGTTCGTCAATTTAAATGCCTTGCAAGAATTGAGGGCGTGATCACCTGGTTCAAAAGTGAGACTGACATGTGATCTTTTGTTTACTACTTAGCGGCTGTGTGGGTTTATTCTGTGTGTATTTGGATGTTCTAATCTTAGTGTTTTTCCAGTGATTTCTCTAGATGCAAACCAAATAGTAGGTGTGTATTATTTACCTGAGATTTGCATGAGTTTGAGTTGGTCAACATGTTAGTTTTTTCATGTGGCTGATTTTAGCATGTTGATTTCCCATTTTTGAGCCATGTTTTCAACTTTATTTATCATTTCATATACAATCTCGTTATATGTTAACATTTTCGTCCATATAGGTTTATTTAGTGGTATGGACCCTGAACAGAGTTAACCAGTCGATTTTATTCCCAGGTATATATAAACAGTCGCACCCCTAATTGGCACACACTGGATATACAGAGTTACTCAGAATATGCACGTGAGCAAACTGTCAGTATGGTAACCGTTAAAGGTTACAACGATCTTCAACATAGTGCAGAAGTTGTTGTTTTGTGGGTCATTGTGCTAGTTATTATATCTAAAAATGTAAAATATTCCTTAATAAATGTTGCTTAACTAAAAACAAACTATCAGCTAATACTGTGCACAAAGTCAGTGTAAATTACTGTCTTATTTGCGCCTGATGATTTAAGAAGTAATTGCCTTTGGACGATCACATTCACATTACACTGCTGTAGAAATAACCAAATCAGAAGAAATGTTAGGTAAACTAGTCAAAATATAGTCAAAGTATTGACCAAACAACATTGGCTCACATGCTTGTCAATGTCAGATGTACAGAGTAGTTTCGTATGTTTACACACGTGACAAGACACACCAGTGTAATACACTGCCACAATTAGCCACATACGAATCTAGACTGTTAATTAGATGCAGATAACTGTTTACACTCGGTAAATTAATAATACAGATGGCACTGTACTGTTTTGTGTATCAGTGCACAATTTTCTTCATGTTTCTGTTATAACATTATGATAAAGATTTCTCATTTGTCAACATTCAAAATTCTTTCGAAGCGAACATTGTGAAAATTGTATGTCCGTCTATCCGTATACACTCTTGATTTGTACATTGTGTATGGGTATTACTGATGTGGTATAAATAAGTGTTAAAAGCACTGTTATTAATTTATTTTCAATAATTGGAAAGGTTTAATACACCAAAGTTAAAATGGCAATAGTTGTAACTATCATATTTTTTTTTTATTTTTAATAGTACATTTGTTCTGTGTATTAGTGTTAATTTGTAACAGTATGGGCTCTGCACAAGATGTTGTAGAACGCCGGTCGACAAGCCGTTGGAAACAGCTAAAGCCGAGAAAAAGCACAAACTCAATAATTCTAAGCAGCCAAATTTAAATATTTTGCACATGTAACCTAGTTAAACTGTTTAGGGAATAATCAACAGCTAGCTTAAAATGCAGTTTATAATTTCACTGTGATGGTTACGAGATCGTGAAAATGCCAGGATGTCCGCCCTCGATAATATGCAATAAACATATTTGTAAATATGAGGGCGCCATATATTGAAATTCATTTTTGTCAAGCGAATCTCAGTGTTAATGGTACAAGGTAACAACTTTCACTGGGTGAACTTTGCCCATGCAATTGTTTCTAAAATAATATATCGGTAAGATTTGGGCATCGTTATTTGGTCACATTTAAAAAAATGCTGAATAAACAGAGTAGAGGTCAAATGTCATCCAATGATATTAGCTACGAAGCATACTTAGTTATTCATACCGACCAAGACACACCTTAGGCTATTTTTCACCATACAGCACTCCACAGTTATATTTTGGCTAATCTTTTGTGGTACAATATGTGTGAATGATTGGCAGATATGACTTTTGAATTACCACTCTATAATGAACACAACATTATGTTTAATAAACTAGCCAAGACAATTATATTAAAAAAACAAAAACAACAACATAATAATATACTGCATTAGTACGTTCAGTCAAACCCCGCCAGTCAAATTTTAATTTAAAAACGTATGGTATGGCAACATTTGTAAACTCAGCACATATAACTGCATTACCGGATAAATATATTGTTTACCGATAAAGGGAATTTAGAAACTGTAGTAACTATTTTGGAATGAAATATACACTGATATGTAATGGGAATGTCATTTCGTCTGTTTTCAGGTTTCCAACATAAACCATTCGATTATGGCCAGGTGACACACGTGGAGCAGGATGTGCTTAATTGTTTCAAAATATCTAACATCAATTCACATGTATCATGTAGATCATATATCTTACTATATAGTGTTGTATACTTGATAGTTGCTTTGCTTGTTTTCTTCTTTAAAGGGGAGCAGAGGTGTGGCTTTTGACACTCTGTACATGAAATTTGAGATCTGTGAATGAATTCTGTCGATAAAAACAACTTGTATGTGCTGCAAA